CTATTAGAAGAATAGTTGCCTTAGAGGCAGGACATATGTAATATACGAAAGTAATAGATCCCTAATTGCCTTTGGTAAGAATTGGATATTGTCCTTATATATGCCGGACTGCTACTGACCCTTATAATACTGGGTATAGATTATAACCAGCTTCTCCCATATTAATAAGTGGCGCTATCGAGTATTATTACACCACATTACTAATAGTAACTCGGACGCTCGCAACGGTGGGCCGCCGGGGATATGGAATAATACTAATACCCGCTCTAGGAATTCCTAAGTATGTGCCTCGTAAATAGCCATAGCCTTTGGATATAAGACCATGCTCCTATCCTTGCTATTAGTTAAGAACATGGCCCGGAGCTTAGTATTGCCCTGGATCTGCCGGATAAGAGCGAGCTCAGTACCCTCTAGAAACTCGGTATTGCTAGGATAAGAGAGCCACGAGCTGCCAAAATCTTCCAGATCTAGGTTATCCTTCAGCCTCCACGATTCTATTAGAATGAGGTCCTTGGCTTGGAACAGGAGCTTATTATAGAGTAGGATATGGGCTTATTAATATTCGGAAACCACTAAGTCAGAGATCTGCAATATCTGTAATTCCACCCCATAATATTCCATTATTTGCCCGTCCAAGGACTACCGAGCTTGGTGTTTTGTAATAGTAGCTTTTCTAACCTTAAATAAGTATAGCCTCTACTATAGAATATGCCCAAACAGGGTCTTAGCTAGCTACTGGAAGAACTTCTTATAGATCTTGGCGAGAAAGACGGGGATTTGATCTTTGTTATCTTGCTCTTGGAAACAAGTATAGTTAAAAAGTACTAGCTAAGCAGTCCAGGTCAGAGCTAATAAATAGCTATTGAAATTCCCCGGCTCCTCCCATAATCCCCGGCCTTTCCCACAGACTTTCCTACTTAGCATAGTACAGAAACTCAAGACAAGGGACTTGAACGGCACGCTACTAATAGTGTGGCAAATTAGAGCTAAGTAAAGTCGCCGAATAGCATACTTAAGAGCTAGCTTAGCCTCCTCCACATCCTTAATAGCCAAGGCTTCTATAATCTCATTCATAGCTTGGATCTGTAAAGTAGTCGGCTAGATAACATCCCCGGGCAGTACTTGCTCTGGCTTAGCCCGGGTAAAATGGCCGCCTTTATAATACATTATACGGTAGTAGTACACTAATAACTGCTTTATGGTAGTAAAGTAGGTAACTAGGGTTAATATGTTCTTGAAATACCGGAACCTATCTGCTTTACCTAAAGCCCCAGTATAGAATTCGTTCAGGATATTAGCCTGCTGCTGTGTCATTTTCCGGTCTAGCGAGATGTCGCTATATAACCAGTATGCGTCTCTCAAGGCAGCCTTGGCTATAACTAAAATTCGGACGAGATTAGGATTCTTAGTATCCTCACTATCCGCATCAAGCTCTTTCTTCGGTAATAGCTTATACGAGCTCCAGATCTCCTCGTCCTTTAGTATAGTCAGGTAATATGGAAAACCCGTTATGTCGTGTAGCCATGGTACCCTTTCTGACCTTGAATCTCCAATATCCTGGACTATAGTTGCTTGCTTCTCAAGATCGTATTTCATATCCTCGTAATTTTTCTCTAATTACTTAAATAGTTCCTTCTCTGGCTCAGTCAATAACATAGAGCCTCTGGCTATTTCCCTGCCTTTCTCCCTATCTACCACTACAAAATAATTAATCCGGCCCTTTGTAGTAAAGTATATCTGTAGCTTGTACTCTTTCCATGACTAATTACTCTCATGAGACCTTATTTTGGTCTTGTGGCAAGTAGCCTAGTACTCCTTTATCTTGGGGAGATGGCGGGTGCTATAGCTATACTACGGCTATAGACAGTAGATACCGTTATAGCTAACCAGGTGCTTAATTATCTGGCACCTGTCTTCGGGCCGGGGCTTATGCTCTCTGAGCTCGGCTATACTCCTTAGGTTATAGCTACTGAGGAGCTATGTAGTCGCCTTGAGCTCGTTTCCCAAGAGTTAGTGTGGCTGCGCTCGCAGGTGCCGCTCTTGACTACGTGCCCCTGGAATGACGCAGGACTTGTAGACATGGCAGATAGTAACCCTGTGAATCGGATTATACGAGAATATGACGAGTACGTGCTTTGAGACGAGGGAATGCTTATTTAAAGGGGGGTGGGGGGTGGTAGGGGAGGTGCCCTTTTACCGAAATCCCTTTTACCGGAAAGTGTATTAGTTAATAGCGCACGCACTAATTAGTGCACTGGCATTCTTACCTTTTACCAAAAAAGGGGCCTCACATAAGAGGTAGAATTAGCTAAAAATCTGTATATAACTAGTTTTATATATAGTAAGCCTAAATATAATATAAAACTTACTTGGAAAGGTTCTAGTTACTAAGCTATTAAGTCTAAGCTTAAAAATATTAGAAAAATTAAACTAAAATTACTTTTACTATATTATAGATCTATTTTTAGACTTTTTAGCTACTAGTCTAGCTTTATACTACTATAAGAGCTTATATATAAATTTTGGGCTTTTTATATAAGAAATAGCCTAAATTAAAAATCATTCGTGTTTTTTACTATTTTCTAGCTTTGCTTATTAATAACCTGGCTTATATAAGACCGATTCTTATAAAAAGTGGGTTCAAAAATCGGCCCAAATTAGGAAATTCGATATATAAAATTTTCTATTAAGTTTATTAATACTTTTAGAGAGTACCATACGACTTTCGAATTCCTTAGTACCCTCCTAATAAAAAGTTATAGTACTCTCAGAGAGTACTATAGCAGGGTAGTATAGCTATTCGCCCGTTATTTATCGAGTTATTACTAGTATTATATATATTATACTTTTTTGGCTCTTAATATATATATTCTTACTATGAAATTATAATTAATTTACTAGATAACTAATATATAATATATATCTATAAGCTTTTATAAATCTAATAATATATAAGTATTTCAGTATCTAATTTATAGCTATTTGCCCGTTATTTAGTATCGAGTTATTAATTATATAATTTTAGTAAGAGAGCTTCTTACTAATATGTGTTTTTTAAAACCGCCTTACTTATATATTTGCTTTTTAGGTATTTAACTAAAAAAAGAATATTTAATATATATTTAAATTCTGTTTTATTTAATTAAAGTAATAATAAAATTAATTAAAGAAATAATAAAAATAGAAAAAAGATAAATATAAAAAGTAAAATATTTTAATAGAATAAATTTACTTAAATTATAATAACTAACTTTAAGCTTATTAGCCAAAATTCTCTATATAGGTCTTTCTTATTAAAAACTTATTAAAAATCCTAATTCTAATATAATATTTACTCTTCTAATTATTAAATTACCTAATTAAATAGTAGTAAGACTTAGTAAATAAGATAGAACCTTAATATATTTTTAGGCTTCTTTAGCTATTAAGGGTAAACTTTTCTTTTAAGATATTCTTATTATTTAAATTATATAATAGACTTCATAAGAGTACTATTAAGATAATATCTTATTTAAAAAGCTAGGGGTTATTTAAAAACGAATTAGAAGAAGTAAAAGAAGAAAAAAAAAAGTAGAAAAAGAAAGATTTTAAAAAGAGAAATCTGGTTTTTATAGAAGAAAAGTAGTATTTAAGTAGCCTTATATAAGCTCTAGCTTAAATTATATAGTACTATTTAATATATACCTTATTTATTTATTAATAATTAAATAAATATTAATTTATTATATTTATATAACTTGTATATAATTACTCTTGAGTTATTTTAGAGTAATACTTTACTCTACTCTACTTAAGTACTATATTATACTATTCAAACTCTATTCTACTTTACTTAAGACTACTCTAGAGTAGCTTGAGTAGCTTGAGTAGTTTTTGCCTATACTGCCTGACAATATTAAGAGCGCGTCAGAAGAGTATAGGTGGGATGAAAATTGGTGAGTGATAGGTAGATTTCGTTATAAATTGTGTGGTGCATGTTTTGGTTTCGCGGCAGCTGTGTGCTAGGAGCCTTGTTTGGTCAGCACGTTAGCTGCTGTGCTTTTGGGAAATGGGGCGTGGTTTCTGCGTACGGCGAGATCTGGTGAGGGAGTCGCAAAGGGATGGTTGAATATAGGGGGTATGCATGGAAATTCGCTCTTCTATTTTGGGTGCTGTCGAGAAGATTGTCTGTATGCCGAAATAGGAGGTGTGTTTCACTATGGAAGTTCCCGCTTTCTTGCTGTGCGATGAATTTTTACTAAGTAGTTACCTAGCGGGACACTCAATGCAATCCGATCATTTTAAGGGACTATTGGCAATATAAATCGTCTAAATGGTGGTATATGCAGGCTTAAGAGGAGAGGGGTTATAGTAGCGGAAGACAATGGTGGGGCGAAAGGGGCTCGCTTACAGGACTTGGTGAAATCGTGTATTCGGTTAGTTCAGTTAATCTACTTATTTGGAGATATCTTTCTGCAAAATATTTTAATTTATGGCGTTTGTTTAAGACGGCTTTGGCTGCGTATATGGATATAGCTGTATGGTAACCTCGACCTGAGAGCAGTGAGTTTCCGGTATGCAGGTAGATGCTGCTTCTACGATATCAGTTTGTAATATTGTATCTCTGACAAGAAACTCCCCTAAACATCGAGTAATAAGTAGATAGAACAAACATACACGGGGCCGAAATGGATAGAGAACTTTCAAGTCATTCCCGCTTAGGAGTCAAATCCAAAGTATCTTGGAATCAGCATCAGATGAAAGCGGAAAGTTATTGTTGTATACAATGTGTACCTTTGAATCAACCATGCTTGAAACTAGTATAGCAAAATGATTTTGGAGTTGAGAGTTGCTCCAGGCCTTCTCTGACTGGCTGACAGTGTAGGTGCAGTTACTGGTTGGTGATTCGCTAATTCGTATGCAGTTGGTGGTGGCTATGCTAGAAGCTGAGATCCTTAACCGCCGACCAACAACAGACCTCAGACAACATCGACCAGAGTCCAGACGAGGCTAGAGTCGCCATACCTGTCACGATCACCAACAAACATTATTACCCAAAACGCAAAGTATTAAGACGCTGGACATATCTTAATCATGCCTCCGTACAGGTATTCGGAGGCCTCGCTGGATCCTGACAGTACTCGCCTGCTCCGCCTGATGCCTTGCGAAGACGAGACGGCTCCCATCCAGTGCCAGCTCTTTAACTACGATCTCCAGAAATCGAGCGGGCGTCCTCATCGGTACGAAGCCTTGTCCTATGTATGGGGCAGCTCGGACAAGCGCCAGTCTCTCGTCATAGATGGGAGTGAGCCGCGTGACCTGGCTATCACAGCGAACCTCCATAATGCGCTCTCACGCCTTCGCGACCACTCTTTTGAACGAGTATTATGGGCAGATTCTGTTTGCATCAACCAAGAAGATGAACCGGAGAAAAAGCGCCAGATCCAGTTGATGGCGAAGATCTATGGCCAAGCGGACCGTGTAGTCGTTTATCTGGGAGAGGCGGCAGACAATAGCGATCAAGCCTTGGAGGATATACGTGCTGCAGCAGAAAACGAGTCTACTACTTCATTAATCAGTAACAAAAGTCAGGAAGCGATTCTTAAGTTGCTTGAGCGACCCTGGTTTCGGCGCATCTGGGTAAGTTGGCAGAGACCCAGCTCGAGAATTTGTTAACAAGAAGTCATTTAGGTACTTCAAGAAGTTGCCTTGGCTCGGAATATTCTGATTATGTGCGGTTCTACCGAAATAAATGGATATACCTTCTGCTCTGGTTTCAACAATATGGAGCTTCCCTACAAAGACGGCCCAGCATTGCAACTGATCCGATCAATGGTCTACCTTATAAGAGGGGCAATCTTCCGGCCGAAGTACACAGTCAATCCAACAAACGGGCTGCTCTCACTCGGTGAGCTGATAGATATGTACCATGCCCGTGAGGCCACTCAGCGCCATGATAAGGTGTACGCCTTGCTCAGTATGAGCTCTGATGGCCTCGATGCTGCTGACTTGTTACCTGACTACGCGGTTCCATGGAAGACACTCTTGCGACGACTTATCGAATTCGTTCTGTCCACAAAGGTATCTATAGAAGTTTGGGACAACAGAGAGACAGCAGTAATCAAGGGCAAGTGCTACATTATCGGGTATATATCCTCGGTTGAGAATGACAGTACTCGATACGACAGACAGAGTGCTAAAGTCGTATTCAACAATGCATACAAGTCTGAGTCCAAGTTAGAACCTCCCTCTCGATGGACCCTCCAGGTCTCGGCAATACCTGTTCTGGAACGAGATGTTGTCTGTTTTCTACAAGGGGCTTCAAATCCATCCATCATCAGACCGTACAAAACCTATTTTGCTCTTATCATGGTTTCGGTTACCCTTCGACAGCACGAAAAGATAGAGAGCGCATTTCTTGAGCGTCAAAACTTCTTGACTTCGGCGGAAAGCTTCTCGCCCGACCTCGTGCTTGTGTGGGACTGGGAAGCTTCCCGAGAGGGTTTTCAGGGTCGAGTTGGATACGAATACGCAGTGGAGATACATATCCTGGCGCCAGAATACTTCGAGACATCTGTGAGCGATAGCGCAAGATTCGACGATGTCACAATGGCATTAAAAATCGCGGAAGAGTTTGAGGGAGCCAAAAAAAGGCTTCAGGAGATGATAGAAGCCCATGAAAGAGAGTTTGGGAAGGAAAATCCTCGTACACTCTCACGCATGGATGAACTCGCCATGGTATACAAGGAAAAAGAGGAATTGACGGAGGCAGAGAACCTGTTATTGCAAGTGATAGAGACAAGAAAGCGTGTGCAGGGAACAGAGCATCCAGATACGCTGAGTAGCATTGCCAACCTCGCCTCAACTTACCTAGACCGCGACATCAAGTACCCTTCGTCTACAGGAGACCCAGGAATGGCAGCAAGTCTAACGGATCAAATAAGGACCAACGTCAAGATCACAGAAGGAAACTTGATCCGGGCTATGGAGATATCTGGCAAAAAGGTGGTCGCCCTTTTACTAGGCTTAAAAAGGGAAAATATCCCAATCACCGAAGGGTTGGTCAAGGCAGCAGCTGGCCTCAGCAATGGCATCTGGATAATAGGGCTGCTCCTTGATAACTGCGGCGACGAGATCAAGATCACCGAAAAGATCGTTGCAGCAGCAGCTCGGAACCCGGATCGCTATTTAATGGAGCTGCTACTTAGGCGGCGAGGCAACGAGGTTAAAATAACTGAAGAAGTGGTTATAGCAGCAGCTGAGAACAAATCGCCGGAAATGATAGAGCGGCTCTTGATCCGTTTCGGTAGTGATATCAAGATCACCGAAGAAATCCTTAAAGCAGCAGCTCGAAACCCAGTTGAATCTGTGATGAGAGAACTACTGAACCGCCGAGGCAACGAGGTTAAAATAACTGAAGAAGTGGTTATAGCAGCAGCTGAGAACAAATCGGTAGATATAATGGAGCGGCTCTTAGCTCGTTTCGGTGATGAGATCAAGATTACCGAGGAAATCCTTAAAGCAGCAGCTCGAAACCCAGTTATATATATAATGGCAGAACTACTTAACAAGCGCCGCAACGAGGTTAAAATAACCGAAGAAGTGGTTATAGCAGCAGCCGAGAGTAAACAGCGGTATATGATGGAGCTGCTACTGAAACGGTTCGGAGACGAGATCAGGATCACCGAAAGAGTAGTCGTGGCAGCAGTAACGGTTGAGGAAGGGGCAACGTGCCATGTGCTTGAAATGCTTATCGACTATGACAGCAACAGGATCGAAATCACTGAGGAGGTAGTCAAAGCAGCGGCTGGCAATGTTGGGACTAGTTCGATGTTTTTACTTCTTGATCGGCTCGGGTACAAGACTCATTTAAGTGAAGCAGTGGTGAGAGTAGCGGCTGAAAATCCTAGAATGATAAAGCTTCTCCGTGAGCATCGCGGCGACGAAGTTATGCTGTATGAGGATGCAGCCAAGCAATGGTAGCTAAGAATTCTATATGCTGTATTGGGACTAGACTTTGACTAGAATTGTATGAAGGCTATAATTACAGACACACCTATTTGAAACAGGTTAACACCCACCCGTTTTCTTATATGTCTAGTTCTCTACAAAGATAAACTTTCTCTTCGCTTTAGTCTAACTAACTATAAGCCAAACCCAACTTACACTATAATATAATGATTCTTACAGATGATTAGTTATTAGTTGCTTATAGCTCTCCCTCGATATGGATTTTCATTGCTCCACAAAAAAAGGTATCTATTTTTACTGCCTCTCTTAGCCTTGAGTACAAAGAAACTATATTCCAGATCGACATAAGATGATTTTAGACTTATACAATCTTGAAATTACGGAGAGTTACGAGTAAAACTCAGAAGAGTTTACTTGGCCTTCATCTGTTCTATTAAGTACTGAACTAACCCATCAGATCTTGCAGGTACCCACAGCCTATTGTCGAACTCTCAACGATTTCCTTGATCTCGTTAACATGTTTTAGACTAACATATAAATCACCTCTTTTCAGCCGATCAGTCACTTCCTCATCTGTTAAGACGGCTGAATTTCTACCACCCTTGAAATCAAGCTGATCAGAATTGAAGTAGAGCCATCTTTCTTTCCCATATGGGATCCAAAACCACCAGTCGATCCCGAAGCCTCTGTTTGTACCGCCTCTAGCTGGTCTTTCGATTTCATCGCCCTTTTCGGCATCTTGTGTGTCCGGTGGCCGCATACGAATATTGCGGCATAAAGTCATGCGACTACAGGGCACATGATGTCCCAGCCACTAATCGCACGCTGTAATCCGTGAAACTAGCCTGTAAAGCAACCACCCACCGCTAAAGTGCCCTGGAAGCACCTGTAACTTAGTGGGTCCGTACCTAAATTATAATATAGGACTCCGGATAGATATATTAGAAGACCCGGCTAGTAGATTCTAGTTAATTCTAGTATATATAGGGATATATAACTCTATATTTAAAGAAAATAAATTAACGAGCAAAATACTAGTACTAGATAATTAATATTCTTCTTTTTATTATCTAATCGGGAATATTACTTTTTCTAATTAACTCTCGGATATAATTATAAACAGATTTATTAATAGCGCCTTTCGGGAACTCCTATAAATATAGGCTATATATTAAAAAATAGTAATTATTATTATTAGAATTCAAACTTCAATAATTACGGGCTAGTAATAATATATTTATATTAAATAATAATAGGCTATAAGTAAATTCTAGAAAGTATTAATAAGAATAATAAGCTTATATAAGATATTTCTTATTATCTAAAAAAGAAAGCAGAATTCTACTAGTAATATAAATATAGTAATCTTTAATATTATAGTTAGTTATTAGTAATATAAATAGTAAAATCGAATTCCTAATTTTATATTTTTATTTTTATATAAATTTTTGTTATATTATAATTAATTCTTTATTTTAAATAATATAGAAAATATTTTTTCTTTTCAAATTATAAAAAAAAGCTAAGACTTTATTATATATTTTAATTAATAAAACTTATATTTCTTTAATAATACGTTTTTTTATAAGTTTTATAAATGAAAATTAATTTCTAATATTATATTTTAATATAAAAATCAAACTATAATATTAAATTAAAAAAATAAGTTTAAAATAAATTAATTTCGAATATTTTATTAAATTTAATAATTTAAAAATATTTATTTTATATTTTAATTAATAAATTTAGTCTAGATTATTTAATATTATATATAATAAAAATATTAAAGTTATTATTATTTCTTTTGTTTTTTATATTTATTAAATTTAATATTATATAAATTAAGAAAATAGTTTAAAAATTATATTATATTTTATATTATTTAATATATTTAATAAATTAGAATTAATTATATTATTAAGAATTAAAAACTTAATTAATTTTTAAATTTATTCTAGTACTTTAAATTAATTAAATTTTGATATTACCAATATTTAATTAATAATAATAATATTCTTGAAATTATTTATAATTATAAAATATAAATAAAAAGCTATTATATAAATTATAGTTTTGGCTATATAAGAGCTATATGTGACGGCAGGAACAAAGCAATGGAACGATGCTCAAAGATCTATGATTCCAATGTCCTACAGAATCTAAAGCTAAGGAGAGAAGGAGTGAGGTGTGGCAGTGGATAAGTAGGTATGGCCAAGACCACTGAAACGCCGAGCTTGGTTTGAAGCGAGCTTGGTTTGAACTATGGCTTGGAACCTTAGCTGAAACCAACCCGTAGCACCCATGTGACACCAGCCGTTACACTATATATATATAAATTTTTTCCTTAAATAATATTTAGTAAATACTAGAATATTAATTAAACTAATATTTAATTTTAGTACTATATATAATTAATTTAGTATTTAATTTATAGCCTTTTAGGACCTTAAACTAATATAAATCAAATTATTAATAATATAATATATATATTTTTATTATAAAATTATAATTAATATATAATATATAACTATAAGCTTTTATAAATCTAATAATATATAATTATTTTAATATTCAATTTATAGCTATTTATTTATTATTTATTAAATTATTACTAGTATTATATATATTATACGTTTTTGGCTCTTAATATATATATTCTTATTATAAAATTATAATTAATTTACTATATAACTAATATATAATATATAGCTATAAGCTTTTATAAACCTAATAATATATAATTATTTTAATATCTAATTTATAGCTATTTGCCCGTTATTTAATATCGAGTTATTAATTATATAATTTTAGTAAGAGAGCTTCTTACTAATGTGTGTTTTTTAAAACCGCCTTGCTTATATACCCGCTTTTCAGGCATTTGACCGAGCTTAGTAGAATCAGATTCACTTATTATTAATCTCAGTAGAGAAAAACCTCCGGTAGACGGTCCTATTAGTGTTTTCCCCGACATTTCACTTACTTATAGCAAAAGTTATAGCAAGTGTCTTATTCTATTCTCTTGTCTTTATTAAATCTAGAAATAAACCATAGCTCTATCTTCCTCTAAATGCTTTACTATAAAACTTTACTAAACCCACGTTACAGACTTCCGTATATGACTTGTCGATTATTTCTTTAGAGGACCTCCTAGTGTAATAATAGCAGTAATACCTGCTGTCCCTGGACCAAGTCCTATTGCAACAATTGCATTCAGGCGCTGGATCCGTCCAATATCTCCGATATATATCCGGATACCACCACTTGCTAGTTCGAAGGTGATCAAAACTCTAGTATTCAAGCGACCACTTCTTGCCTATCCTGCAATAGGATGTACCCAGTCTTACGCCAATCGCCGACAGGACCTTGTTAATGACTTACAGGCGGACTTGCCCGTCGCAAGGGCCGCTGGACGAGAGCCCGGACTTCCAGATCCTGACGTTGATCGACTTCAGATTACTGTCTCCGTCAGGTCGCTAGCGAGAGACCCAGAAACAGATCGAGATTCCTTTCTGACAGTTTATACAACAATACGACCTTTTGCTGCCAATGTGGAGGATCAACTCTCACTGAATTTGACCTATACTGATGTCGCCAATGCCTTCATATTGACTGATAACGGCGCAGCACTCACACTACCGACCGCCAGAGACGTCAGACTGTCATGCATAGCTCTTGGTTACGATGATCCATCCAGTTCCTATTTTGGTACTGATGATATTCGTTTCGGCTCTGCCGTAGTAATAAACGTCAGACAGGATGCCACAACAGAAACGGCACTCTATAGTCCAGGACTTCCAGCCAGCCAGTTACGTGGTGTGTTTTGCCAGCCTGACTCGCTCAGCGCTCTGTCGGTGCCATTTACCAACCTGACATTTAATGGAAGTATTACCAAGCAGCTCGGCCCAAACTTAATCACGACGCCAAATATTGGAAGTCGTCTAGCGACAACGTTGGGTCTCCAAAACGACGGTCTATCAATTCGCGCCTCAATTGGACGGCGAGTTATTTTTGGCGCTGCGGATTCAATCAGTCATGTTATTAGTCCAGATAGTACAAGCCTGAAGTTTTCTAATCAAACGGACATCGCGAACCACTGGATCGTGGCAATTCGATTAACTCTTAACCGAGACTGGAGTTGGGATGGCCTTCAGCCCAATGGCTTCATTGTATCTAGGGACGGCCTTCAAGTCGGCAAGTTTGGCTTGACAAGGGTTGTCAACTCGGATGCCTTTAGCAACGCTCCTGGTGCAAAGGTATATAGGACAGGGACTGATTTGGTATTCTTCGACCAAATCGATCCTAAGCCGCCCCTGAACACTTTTCCGAAACCCCTCTCGCCTGTATATACGATTACTTGCCTCTTCAAAGGAACTCCACCACCTACAGGCGACCCTCCGTTGGTATTGAAGTCTCTCACTCTTCCCATTACAACCCCTCCAGCGCAAGTTCCGACTATCGTCTCAGCAGGAATCGCTCTCTCCGCATTTCTACCCTCTGTGACTTATTCTTCCACTACTCCTCGTACGAAACGATTGTGGATCGAGTTTTCCAGCCCTCCAGCAGACCCCCAGGATCGCTATTTCGCTCGAGTGCTCCGCAGGGCCCCCGACCCGCTCTTGTCCAATCCTGCGCTGGCTTCCGAGCTCACCGATGTACCAGAACCAGGCCTCGCAATCAGCGCTGAGCTCACCCGGGTCATTGTGAACAACGAAGCCGACGACCGAGCGGGTCTCGACGCTATGCAGCTCATGACAGCCGCGTCTTCCGTAAACGGCGCCGCACCCGTCCACTACAGCCTCCCTCTGCCACCGGGCACATCCGCCGACTCTCCCGAACTCTTCGGATTCTACACCTACGAAATCCGATTCGGTCATTACGGTGTAGAACCCGACCTCGGCGTCTCCTGGAGTACCGCACAAGGCCGCTATGGCCGACCGTTGCGCGTAGCGGGCGTCCAGCACCCTCCTCCACCGCTAGTTCCCAGCATTCGCCGCGACGACGCAGAAGAAATCCACATCTCCGCGCCGTTTGCCGTGCCGGTTTTGAATGGCGTGTCCCAGGCACCTATCCGTAGCCCCGTCACCGCCATGTGGATCATGCTCTATGCTCAGGTCGCCCAGCTCGACAACGAGGACGGAAGCTCCAGCAACAGCACGGGCAGCTCGACGCGTAAGCAGTTCCGTAACATCCTCTTGTCGACCGCCCAAGCCCGAGCACCAGTTCCTGGGGAGGGCCAGAGGCTGCCTAGCCGCATGGTATTCGGTGAGGCAAGCTTCACGATATCGGAACTTGCGACTTTGCTTGCTGCAGTTGGGCTGCGAAAGCAGGCTCCGCTGAGTGTATTGGCGGTTGAGGTCTTGTCTACTGATGTGCCCGATCCGATGGGTGCAAACCTAGGCCGTGCGAGAGTGCTGCGTACGAGTGAGCTCGTTCCGGTTGTCCCTGGGTGTTAAATTTACACGGTTGTCTATGCCACGCCTGTCAAGATTAAGTTTTTATATCGTTTTCGTTTGGAGAAGGTTTGCGAACCGTCTAATCTTCTGGGTTACTCTTCCTTCAAGCAGTTAGGCCAACCAGTGCTGCTTCCATCAACGGAATGAACTAGAGAGTCTGCCTGCAGCACTAAGAATTTTATATAAGATTATATCCTAAAATTAGTGACCGTTACTTGCTATATAATAACGTTGATCTAAATCGCAGACCGCCAAATAATCACTGACCCTAGTGATTACCATTGTTTCATTCAACGTTGGTAACCTCTGCCCCGTCTGTTCAATCATCAGAAGAATTAATTCTAAGAAAGAGTTTACGCGAGAGCTCTTTTGCTTACAGAAGTAATTCATGCAGCTCCCTCGTGCTCTTCTTATACTAGTTATACTACGATTTACATTCTTGATAATCACCCTTCGCAGATATCAGGACCATTTCGTAGATGGAGGCAAGCCAAAACTCGTGCCGCTAGAAGGCAAATTTCCGTCCTTGAACTGCAATTACTTCGATTCCTCGTTGTCCTGCTTAGAACATTCAAGGTTGCCGAGAGAACCAACCTGAAAGCGTCTGCGCCCGAAGTTAGACAGACCTACTTCGGTAGAGAAACTCATTCACATTTACAGGAAGGACTCTCGACCTTGAACACTAATTTTATCTTCAGAGACAAAATTAAAAGTATCCATGATCAAAAACTTAGAATTCGCTTTGCCGGGGGGATTCCGGGGCGATTCGATGGGCACTGGCACTAGCATGTTAGTCCTCTTTATACGAACTGAGGCGCTGTCGAGGTCATTCTCGCTAATGTAGCAGAGAACTAGCCTCTTCTCCCAGAACGATTAGAGCCTGCACTGTTGCGAAGTGAAGGATGGCCGCTAACTTGATCTTGAGATGAAGGGCCTGAATGCCGCTCAGTATAGCCATGTTCCATTTCAGACATTGAAGACGGACTTTGGCTAGTATTTAATTCCTCGCAGTTGCTCATAACATGGTCCTGAGTAACGTCGCAGACACTGCTACGGCTAGCGGACCTATCTGTCGACGGAGAAGAGTCTTCCAAAGCAGCATACTTCTGGAAGAGTTCTCGCTATGGTTGGAGGTGATAGTCATATTGGATGGCGCCCATGGGTTTCTCATACCCATACCTTCGATGTATTAGCTATTTATGCTGTCAGTCCATATGTAAAACAAAAGAAAACAAACCGATCAATGACCTTTCCGTTCCGTGTTCGTTGCCGAGAGGTACAGTCTGGTCTGGTATGGGACTGTCGGCATTTCCCTGGAAATTGAAAGGTGAATAGAAACCTGAACTGAATCTTGCGTTGAATTGAAGTTTGTGCGGTAAAAGTCTTGAGCGGATCTGTTCCACTCCGACACGATACTCTGCGTTTAAAGCTCCTATTAGTTCTCGTGTCTTTCGCGAGGCTGCCAAGAGGGGCGATCCAGCAGCATGGTGTATATACCATGCCTTCGGTGAGGAGGAACGGAAGTTCTACACCCAAGCCGCCCAGGAGGATCCAAAAAAGAGATTCAAGGAGGATCTAGATATGAGATGGTATGGTATGCAAACCGGTGTTCTAGATGGCGTGAGGCATGTGGAGATGCCCTCCCTGCGATGCATTCGCATACTAGCTAAGTTAGTTCAGGCGGATCAAGAATGCTTACTATATAGTTAATAAATAAATAAAAAATCTATATATAATTAGGAAAGCTAAAATAAACATTATTTTTATACTATTTTACTAATAACCTAGTAAAGATATAAAAATAATATTTATTTTAGCTCTCTAATTATTATAGATTTTTTATTTATTTATTTTCCTAATTTAATAACGGATTTTTGTTTTATTTCTTTCAAAAAAAGATTTTTTATTAATATTATAAATTTTTATATAATATAAATATTATTCTCTTAATTTTATATTATTATTAATTTAGCTTATATAAAAATCTTATATTTTCTATCTTATATATCTTATATCTTATATATCTTATATCTTATATATCTTATATCTTATATATCTTATATCTTATATATCTTATATCTTATATATTTTATATCTTATATATTTTATAAATCTTATATTTTATATATCTTTATTTTATTTTCCTATAATTAAATAACTTAAAATTTCACATTTTTTAATTCTTTTAAAATTACTAATCTAATTCTCTTAATTTATATATTCTTTATAAGCTTATTAAATAACTTATTTTTTTTAAGTAAAATTCCTTTCTAAAGCCGCTTATTTAGTTAGTTTAACTAGTATTATATATAACCGGTCCTATAAATATAATTAGTTCTTTTAATAAAATTCAAGAATTTAGAAATTCTTATATTAAATTTATATAATTTTAGAATATAATTATTAAATTTAAAAAGAAAAACAAGATTTAAAGCCCCTAGTATTTCTTTATAAATTTCTTTTACTAATATTTTTATTAAAGTATTAATACTAAAAATTAGACTTATAGATTATTCGGGTATTTAAATTATACTAGCGGCCGCATTTATAGCCCGTATATAAATTAGTATACGAGTTATATACTAACTAAAAGTTATTCGAAATTTTTATAAAAATTTTATTTAATTAATTAAAGTTCTAATTATTATAAAAATATATTAATTTATTATTATTTTAAGTTATAAATTAATTATTAATCTAAAAAGCTATTTATTTTAGTAATTAATTTAATTCGAAAAGTTATTAAACTTAACTAAAATAATATAGGTATATTATTAAAAGGCCTTATATAATATAAATTAAGTTATTAAACTATTTCCTAATTTAAGAAATTATTAAAAGTACTAAATAATTAATATTAAAAATATTAAAAAGGTTTAATATTAAAAAAAGAAAATTTAATAATAAGTAAAATAGCTCGAATTAAATACTAATAATTATAGATTTTAATATTTCTAATATATTTTATTTATTAAAAGAAATAAATATCTTCGAATTAATAATTATATAAAATAAAAATAATTATAGCTTTATAATAAGAATTATTAATTAAAAAATATAATATAAAGAGTTATAAAGAAAACAAGAAAGTTCTTTAAGAAAATATATAATTATTAAAAAAAATCTAAATAAAAATAAGTAAACTTTATATAATTAAAGAAATAATTATTTATATAATTTTATGAAAAATATAATTTTATAAAAAATATAATTTTACAAAAAATATATTATTATAGAAAATATAAAACTGCTATTATATAAGACTTTAAATAATTATATTAAAGAACTCGACTAATAAATTCAAATTAACTTTAGTATATTTAAAGAAATATAACTTTATATTTAAAAGAAAAAAATTAATAAGTAGAATATTAGGCTTAGTTAAAATAAATACTTAGGTTAAATATTTAATATTCTTTTTTTTATTAGCTAATTAGAGCCTTTATTTTTTCTAATTAATTTTTAAATATAATAATAAACGAATTTTTAAGTAATATTAGATAACATTTTTTTAAATATAGGCTATATATTAAGAAATAATTATTATTACTAAAATATAAACTTAAATAATTATAAGCTAATAATAGTAATAAGTTTATATAAAGTATTTCTTATAACTTAAAAAAGAAAATAAAGTTTTACTAATAATATAAATATAATAATTAATAACTTTATAATATCTTAATTAAATATTAAGAAAAAAACGACATTTAAAGCCCTTATTATTTCTTTATTAATTTCCTCTACTAGCTTTTTTAAAAAAGCAGTAATACTAAAAATTAGAATTATATATTATTCGGGTCTTTAAATTATACTAGTGGCCGCACTTGTGGCCTATATATAAATTAGCATTTAAGTTAAATAATTATTTAAATTTGTTTGAAATCTATATTAGCTCGTTTAATAGCCTTTATTATATAAACAAAATTCTTTTAATATTCGCGCCTTATTACAAATTTTGCTAGCATTAAACATAAATCCAAAGCAGCCTGCTTGTAATTCATTTCTTAAGCTAAAATGAACTGGCTCTTGAAGTGAACTGTACTTACTATATAAAATAAATAGCAAGAAAAAAATCTTCTCCCTTCGTTACTAAAAGCGAGCCTGTCTAGGCTCTTTACAAGAAAGTTCCTTTACCCCCCCCCCCCTCCCTTTAAAGAAAAAGGATAACATGAAAAGTATTCAAAAATACAGGAATAATTGCAAGCGCCTCGCCAGCAGGGAGGCGTGGTTACGTCCCTAAACAGAGGCACGCTAAACGTATATATGCCGGGTGTGAAAATACATCCGCCATTGGCGACCGACATTTCTCTTCACTTGAAGAAGTCTCGACGTTCCGATTCTCTACTTATAACCTCCTCCCACATACAGCGAACTCTCAGTAGTATTCGACGCCGAATAACCTTGCGGCCAAGGGCTCATCTGTCTCTTTTTCATCCAAGTAGCGTCAAAATCAGTAACAAGCTTATGTTGGAACGTCGGATCAACATGGCCAACGAAGTGAACCTTGACGTTGTGCTCCACAGTATATATCTTTGCATAATTTATGCGCGACTCTTTCTCAAGTTTATCTCGGGGTGTCTTGGGAATCACTCGGATAGCGCGTAGCTTTAGCTCGTCTTCCCCCTCGATTCTACTTGGGGGTCTGTCGCCGGTGTAAATTATGGCGTGGTCTTCCCGTTTTACGCCGGGCTTTGTTGTTCCTTGTCTGTGATACGTAAGAATTGGCCTGCAGATGTTGTAAGCAATTGTTTCATGAACTAGGTTGTGAAGATACACTGACAGGCACTGACAATGACCGTAATCGGCAGCGACAATCACAAAGCGGCGGATGCTAGAATGTGGCTTCTCACCAAACCTCCCGTCTCCCACGTCCCATGAGAAATCTGTTACTTCCGTGGCGCTGGTTTGCCTTGCGTTCTCTCCTAGAGGTTCGAACCAAAGTACCTTGAAAACCTAAAGGCGGTGTTGTCAGTGATAGTTATTTGATGGTTGTCAGAACACTTACTTGACCTGGCGTGAAATACGTTGACTTGTGAACTTTATAATCTGCAGCTTGTTAAGTATAGTTCTTGCCTAGCAGGGAGATTAGCTTACTAGGGTCTAGTGTCTCCTTTGCGCCAGGTGTTCCTGTAATCGTCTTATGTGTGGGTTTAGGTGTAATTGCACCACTGCTTGTAGCTGCGGAGGCGCCGTGAGCGCTTTGTGTTTCTACATCACGTCAGCCTGGAAAATCTCTCAATGGAAAATGCGAAACATACGTGATTGCGAATTCACAGAACCCCGCGATGATTCCCTATAACCCTGTGCAGGGTTCGAGTACCCTGGTGCGGGCTCCGAGTATCCAGACTTAGGATACCCTTGTGAAGGATTGGGGTAGCCTATGCCAGAGGTTGGTATGCCCTGCGAATCCACCATCAAAGGTCCTGGATAACCGTAACTAGCGCTGACGCTATAAGTAGGTCCAAATTGTCCAGGCACAGGTGCGTAATAGGACGAAGAACTCGGTGCTATATATCCTATTTCAACTCAGTAAAAGCTTGTACTAAGGGTATGAACACAGACCAGACGGTGGCGAAGGGGACTTTCCGCCATGAAACCCGCTTTGTCTGCCAACTACTGTCGAATGACTAGAGGAGGAGTAATCATTGGAGGTCGCGTCGTCTGCCTGCCTCCATGGATTCGACGGGATTGTAATCGGCTGAGTGGAGGTTCTTTCTAGAGAAGATTCAATTAGTATATAACTACTGAGATTTAACTTCTTGCTTCTAGAAGGGGACATACCCTGTTGCCCCTCATTCGACTGGTACCCGCCGTAGGATGCAGAATCCGTTGATGGAAGTCGCTCATCATTCAAGGACGTTTTTGCAAACTCTCTGGATAAGTCGTTGACTTCACCGGAGGTCTGCGAAGGGTATTGGTAGTCGTAGTCTTGATTATCATAGTATTCGCGGTTGTAACTTGTAGATATACTGGGAAGGACGGAGACGTTCTCGGTAGTCGTTGCTCCTCGTGGTGTGGAATCTTGTGCGGCAGTTTGCCCAAGTTGATATTGGTAGTCATATTCCCCTGAGAAAAATTGGTAAGCCTATCTGATCTCATTCCCAGAGAATGTAATGTTCAACATCATTTTCGTGGGAGCAGAGGTATATTGACTTGGAGAAACCTACCCCTCGAGTTGAGGCGGGCTCGATACCACCTCCACCCTTTTTCATCCCAAGTCCATTCGGACCAATCGCCGGATCGTGCCGACCCTTTGGACTTGCCTGATCTTCTGCCAGACCGTGTTGACATAGTCACGGGGAAAGGCTGGGCGGAAAACTGAGCCAAAAGTGCCCGACCCCGACAGCGACTCTGGGAGCCTGGTTTGGCCCCGCTCAAATAAAGGATGCGACATGAGGCTCAACATGGGCGGCGGTCCATTTGAAAGCTCCCAGTGTATCACGCTGTTGTTTTGGGAGAAGCACATGCAGCCCATTGGGGAAAGACCTGCCTGAGGTTGGGTAGCCACACTAGGGAAGCTTCGGGGCTGGCACTTATCTTGAGGTGCCGCTGGTTGTACGGCCGCATTGTGTGACCACACTATTTTCTTATCGTCCATTCGTTGTGAGGTTACATCGAAGATTAAAGGAGAATCCCAGCAGTTTGTTTTTGGAATCCCTGTTAATTTCCAGGTTGTGCAGTTTTGTGACGCTCCCTGTACAGTCTCCTTCGCCGAAATTCGAGCCGGTTGAAAGAGGGCGGACTAGCGCAAAAGCCATCATTCCATACGTTTTTTAAAAGGTAGCTTCCTCCATACCGCTCTCGAATCGCAAAGCGCACCAGCCGCCATGGTCAGCCTTTGGACCTATCCACTTCCTCTTATAGTTTCTGACCGCTTGCCCCCCAAAAGATACACATCACGATGCCCACATGGCAGGAATCGACTCGTCGAACGAAAGCGGGTTCCCACATGCACAGCGTACATCTGCGCCTCAGCCATGCCAACAACAGGAGGATATGATCTTTTTTGAACAGAAGAGGAAACGGGATTTGCTTGAAGTCTTAAACCATGGCAAATCCAGATCGGCCAGGAGGCCTTATCGAAAGATCAAGTCTCGACCATCTCAAAGGTCAGTAACTGACGACACAAAAACGACACCCCCACCGACTTCTTCAAATCCCAGTCCTACCCCTGTCCACGAAGTAGCAGCTATGAGCCTCAAATTGTCGTTGAGACCGACCAATATCGATTCCAACAAGACTCAACCAGATCCTTCATTCGGTGCCGAAAGCACTTTCTCATTAAATACTCTTCCGCCAACGACTGCAGAGCCCGAACCGCCTCCCTCACCTAGGAGTCAAATAAGAAGTTTCCAAGCGGAGAAGCCAAGAACTCTCATTTCAAATCAGACCGGTCCAATGGAACGATTCCTATCGCAAGATAATCACCCAGCTGGGTTTGAAAAAGATCCAGGGCGGATGAAAGAAGAAGGACAGCGCCTTCGTTTGTTGCGTACAAATGCGTTGAGACTCCGTGCTCAGCTGAAGATAAAACGCAAAGAACTCAAGGAGAAAGAAGCAACCAAATCCTCAGCAGATGAGGCGTTTATCAGACATGTCAGAGAGAGTCGATCGGTTCAGTTGTTTTCAAACGCTCAAACGTCACCGGATGAGACTGCGGACTCTTACTATCTTGCAATGCAAGCAGCACGAGATGTATATGGCCCCTTGGAGGATGAATATACCCGAATAGAAGATATCCTGGACGAAACGGAGTTCGAAATGGCAAAGATTGAAATTCGACTGTATGGGCAGGAAACAGTACCGCCGCCTAGGCACGAATCGGCAACATTATCTCCCCTTCCACAAGTTGCAGACTTGCTCGCCTCTGTTTCTGCTTCAAGTTCATTTCTGGGTCTCTCGACTGGCCATCTTGATCAATATAAACCAATTCATGCAGAATATCTGTCACGGCTTGGGGATTTGGATCTCGCGAGAGAAAGACTTCAGAACATGACGCAGGAACACGAAAGCTTGTTGGTGGAACAAGAATCTCGTTCACGGGTCGGAATGGAACTTCATTCAAACTTGAGAGCATTCCTTGAAAATCTTCCTGCAAGAGAGGCTGCGTTGCGGGGAGAAATTACTGAAATTGAGCTGGATGTGGAGAGGCTGAAATCGCAATGTTTGGAAGCTGGAATAAACCTGGATGAACTTAGTGATGGGAGTGAGCCAGAGAAGAATTTCGAAGATGAGCTTAGTAGGCCAGAATTCGTTCAGAAGCAAATCCTAGGTCGTTCAGTTCTTAGGGGAGTTTAATCTCGATTCATCAACACCGAAATCTCATTTTCTTGAACACTTCTGTAAGTCCGTGCTAGAAGATATCCTTACTCAATGCACCAATCCACTGACTCCTACATAGATTTTATTATCGATCTTTTGAATTCGTTAGATATACTAGAGATATGTTGCTCGCGCAGTACTATATTAATGATGCGGCGATTCAAATTCGGGATAAGACAATTTATGAATTTCTTGTATAATATATCGGAGGTTCTTATGTAAGACCCTTAGTCTCGAGCATTAATTATCCCCTTATTAGGTATAACTTAATTATCAGTAAATATTGTAACAACTTCCTTATTACACTCCAGTTTTTCCTTACTGCAATCTTTCGAACTCGTTTCGTTATGGATCCCTAAAGGGGGTGAGGCAAACTAGTCAGCATTCTTTCCAGAGTCAGTGAACGCAGATATTAGCGAAGGTGGATGACTGGTTCTAGGTTTTATTAAACCCGAGAAATTCAAGCAGGCAGTGAGTGCGACCCAAGGAGAATTGTTACGTCCAGAAATAATCCTAAATAAAACTTGGGCGGTGAGGATCAGTCATTGGTCAAGGGTGCGAAGGAACAAATATGGTTGGATACACAACAGAGGGTCATAGCCAGGGGATCGGGAGGATGCTCCCGTGATGTGGTTGTGAACCAACTTGATAGGCTGTATTAATTTCTATCATCTTGTGCTAACCCGGAGCAACGAATAAGGGGCTCGGCCACCACCACTTTCTTATCGTGTTGTGCAACCACACTCTATGGGTAAGACGCGCACACGTAGCCGAGAAGACGTGTTCGATGAGGCTGGGATACCCCATCGACTCACGAGCTACAGTGTTTCAAAACTCTCGACCTCGGTACTCCCGTCCTTCTTAAGGATCGATCCTTCTTACTCTTAACCTTCTTATCTTAGAGCCTAAGAAGGCTTAATCAGGAGTAAGTTTTTAATAAGAGTTTTTAATAAGATATTAATTACGTTATATTTTAATATAAAAGTAATAAATAAAAGATATTTTAATAAAAATGAAAATATATTGACAACTTGTGTCACCTGCGCCTCAGCCACGCACTAACAGGGTTGAGGTTTGAGAGCCTATCAATTAGGGTTGACAACCGCCAGCTCCTTCGATCCGTCCCACCAGTCGCGCCTTCATCAAAAACATCTCGCTGATATCAACTATCCTTGAATCGTCACTCTTGTTTCTCTAATAACTATTACCTTCATTACTCGGCGCCACAGCCTTATCGGTTATGAGATGGAGTATCGCCCACTTGACACCGCTAAGAACGAGATCAGGCTCTTAAAGATCTTGCCACCGAAGTCACGCAGCCTTGTTAACCAACCACGAGATATGATACATTGCATCCTCGAGCACGTATCATTGGATGACTATTCCGAAGAATACAAATCTAATTCAATCAATCGAGGGACATCCTGGCCTGAAAACTTTGTGGAGGCTTGCGCGAGAGAGGGTATAACAACTCCATTCGATGAGGGCAAAGCCGGCACATGTCCTCCGCTCTCCTTTGTTTATGTTTCACTAGTTGCTCTAAGTTCACTTCATGGGTGGCACCGGTGGAAATGGGGGGACTATTTCGCTTTGTCATATTGTTGGGGGGACTCTGAGGATTCGCGCCAAATCATCGTAAATGGGCATGAGGTACGGGTCACCAAAAATTTGCACGATTTCCTCGAAACAATTTACAGCCACACCCTTGCCAATTCTTCCTGTGGGATATGGATTGATGCAATTTGCATTAATCAAAACAATATAGTTGAGAAAAACGAGCAGGTCAAACGGATGGCGGCCATATATTATCAAGCTTTCACCACACTGGCGTGGATAGGACTCGAGAGCAACGATAGCAACATGGCATTGGCCAAGCTGCATTCAATATGTAATGGGGACGACTCATACATGGCAGATAGTGGCAAGATTTTAGAGGGACTCACGTTGGAAGAAGAACCTTTGGATGCTATAAGAGCCTTACTGGATCGTCCCTATTGGAATCGCCTATGGGTTATCCAAGAGATTGCATGGAGCAATTTAACCTTGACGATTGTTTGTGGCAACTATGCCATGAAGTGGTCAAGCTTCGCTAACGCCGTCGGCGCTTTGCTCTCTATATACAGGACAGTGAACTCGGAGAATCCAGGAGGCAGAGGTGTAATCGCGAACTCTCTTCGCCCAGCTGATCTTATGCATATTGTGGATCTCTCAATTCAACATATTCAAACTCGATTGATACCACTGCACAGCACTGAAAATATCCGAAAAGGACTGTTCGATGCTGTTCGACAAGCACAGCAAACCGATCCTAAGGACAAGATTTACGGGATACTCAGTCTATTGCCGCCAAAGGTTGGTAGTGAGATCAATCCCAACTACAGCTTGCCCGTGAAAGAGGTCTACATAGACTTCATGAAAGCATGTATTTCAGGAACGCTCAATCTCGAAATTCTCCGTGAGTCGCAAAGCTGTCAAGTAAGGCGTCTCGCGAATTGGCCCTCGTGGTTGCCGGATTTTCGGGATGAAGTCAAGCGCAATTTCGATTTTTACAACGTGGTTCCCTATCATGCAAGCCGATATTCTGAAATGGATATTCGTTTTGACGATTCCAATTGTTTACATGTCAGGGGTGTCGTTATTGATGCTGTAGATAGTCTCGGATTCGACTTTCCAAGCTTTTTGTCCATACTGTCATCCTTGAAGGTCGTGGAGTGTGATATCGATGACGACTTTGCGTTCAAGGACGGGCGACATTTGGTTCAGCCAACTCAATCCTTAGGTCTTAACCCTTACCAAGATGAAGAGGAATTGAGAACTGCCTTTTGGCACACCCTGGTTGCTGGTCGAAGCGCTGCTGGCGATTTATCCCTCAATAATTGCGCGGCTGTTCTCGACATCCCTATCTTTTCCTTTGGACGGAATACTTTGACAGCTCAATGCGTTCATTTTGAGAGCTTCCGCAAGTATAATAGCCATCTTAAAGTAGGAGGACGTCGCTTCGAAGACTTTTTCCCTCTTTTTGAAACTTCGGGAGAACCTCCTTCTCATAAATTAGTCCAAGAGATAATGCATCGAGTTAGTGTCTTGATGGCTGGTCGCAAATTCTTAGTCACTGGGAATGGATACTTGGGATTGGCGCCAAACACCTCAAAGAAAGACGATATCATTGCAGTTCTATTCGGATGCACTACTCCCATGGTCCTACGCCCAATCGCAGACAAAAGGTATGAAGTGGTCGGCGAAGCATACGTGCATGGATTTATGGAAGGGGAGGCAATGGATGACTTGGCAAATGGGTACTTTCAAGCAGAGATGTTGGATCTTTATTAGATTGTTATATATTTCCAGGCATTCCAGAGAGGTCTCTAGCTTTCGCCTTTTCAGAAAGTATAATAAAAATGGCTACCAAGAAGCAAAAGTTATAACGCTTTTTTTTGGCTCCCGCCAGCCCGCAATTGTTTAGAGATTAGTAATTAAATTTGCACGTGATTAACGACCGGAAGAGGATGGCATTTGGACCTCGCAACTAAGCCATTTAATAATTAGTGATTTTTGTATCAGGCTTGGTAAATGAACTAGAATTTTCTATTATTCTTATAATTCTTTCTTATAATAGATTTGACTTTAAGCAAAAATTAAAAGAATAACTCTTGTATTAATTAGAGTAACTAATCTAAGTAATTTATAAGTTTAAATAAAATAAGTTATTATTAAGATATAATAAAACAGTAAGATAAAAAAAGTAGTCGGAAACTATTCTAATAATAAACAAGTTTAAAGTATAATTAATTTACTTTATTACAAGTTATATATAAATAATAATATATTTATAAGAGAAGAAAAGTAATAAATTAGATTAAAACGCGAAAAATGAAATTAAAAACTATTTTATATTAAAATTTTAAAGGTTTTAATCGGAAAATATAGAAATAACATTTCGTTTTATAGGAATCTTATTTTATATAAATATTTATTAGATATTTTTTAAATTCTATATTATTAAAGAAAATTTTAATAAAAGTTATATTTCGAGTATATAAAGAGAAAATAATCTATTATAAATATTACTCTTTCTATTCCCTTATTTCTCTTTCCTAAATACTTATTATAGGCCCCAAAATAATACTATTTAAGTACTAGCTAACTTTAGGGTCTTTAGTTAATAGAAACTCTTAAAGGCATCTAATATTTCCTAGTTTAGAAATATAAACAAGGTTTTAGAATAAAGTTATTTAAGGGCCTGTAATAAGTATTTGGGGAGGAAATAATAGAAAGAGATATAAAAGATAAGTAATTTAAAAGGCTTAAAAAAGTAAGCTATTTAATTTATATATAATATATTATAGGGTTCTACTATAGTAATACTTGATTTATTATATAATTCTGAAATCTTATAATAGTCGTCTCACCCGAACCCAACATACTACTTTTAGAAACTTAAAAGAAACTCGGATTTAAAGAAAACTCCAAATTCCTTTAATTTTAGATCAGGTAGCAAATTTGATTCACGAAGTCAACTTCAAACAAAACTCACTAGAAACAGATCGTAAGTGCTTCTTCTTACCCCATCTCGGATGCAGTCTAACTATTCAGAAAATGCCTCCTCTTCCGCCCAACCCAACGCCAATAAGTGGTTTTCTTGTCCTCAAAGAGGACGTGCAATCCGTTTTAACCTTCTCCGACGAATACAAAGCAATCTCTTCTACGAACGATGTCACAATTCGCGCATAGGACGGTACCATAAGACATGAGTGTATCTCCCACACTCATCCGGACTCAAGAATGGGCATTATACAATTGTCACTCACAGTTTCACATTTTCGTTTGATAGCGAGGACCATGCGGGGCATTTCGAGAGGGCGACCTTGGGGATGGGGAAGTTGAATGTCCATGTTAATGGCGCGCGCCCGAGTCAAAATTATTTCAGCGTTAGCGTAAAGAGACAGTAGGACATTGGCAAATTTGGAGGTGATAGGGAGCATGGAAGTGTGTAAAGAAGCTGCTCTACTATGCGTTCTATTATCAAAAAGTACAGTTCTAACCAGCGTTTCTTGCAAGAAATTACGAGTTAGTATAATTAAAGATAACCTTGAAACCATACTCTATCTTTAAACTTCTAGATAATTAAACGTTTCTTTAACCTACTTAAACCTGTAATTCTTGTTAGTGAAACTAACTCTTTTTAATAATAATAATGCTTTAGTAATCCAGCTAGATATGTAGTATATTACTAATTGGTTTATTAATCCCGTGGCTCTCAAACCTCAAACCTCAGAATATAATTAACTAGATAAGCCCGGTATATTATATTAAGATACTATAGCTATTACTCTTAGATCTCAATAATTACATTATATTTTCTTGTTTTCAAACTCATTAGTATCGAGTTATAACGCCGCTTATTTAATATCCTCGAGTATCTTTCTTCTAAATAGCTTTATATCTTATTACTTAAATAATATCCTCTTTTATTAATTCAAGCAGCTGCAAGTTATTACTAATATTATACCTCTTGCGACTCTAATAAGAGAGAAGAACTTAAAGATATTATATAAGATATATAAAAGTTATAAAGTAAAAGAATTTATTTATTTTATAGAAATATAAATTTTTTAATAATAAATATAATTTTTAATTATATAAGTAATATAAGATTTAGGTTAAATCTTTTAATTAATTTATATAAGGCCTTTATAACTTAAAAGCAAAAGAAATTACTTTATATTATATAGAAAAAATATTTATTTTAAAACTTATAATTAACTTATATAATACCTATATAAGTTAAAATTAAGTTAATTATTTTATATTTTAAGAGAATAAGTTTTTAATAAAAAATAAAAAATAAAGATTTTTAATTATAAAATTAATATAAAATTTATTTTTATACTTTTAATTAACTTATATATAATATATATAATTTTAAGATTTTATTTTTTGAGTTTTTATTTATATAATTAATATAAGATTTATTTTAAATTTTTTAATTAACCTATATAAAACTTATATAAGTAAAATATTAAGAGAATTATATTTTTAATTAAAAAACAAGCTTTTAATAATTAATATAATTTTAATAAAATTTTAAAATTTTATTATATAATTAATATAAAATTTATTTTTAAGACTTTTAAAAACCCGAGGTCAATTTGGAGTAGACTTTATTAGCCCGTTAAAGATTATATTACTGCCGCTCGAGGTCGCGAGGCGACGGACAAAAGAGACATTGTATTTACCGGGTTTTCTCTGGTCTAGAGATATAGTACAAGGGACGGGGATGCTTTAGCTACGAGCTTACTAAAGGCAGACTACTCTAAATTTATTGACTAGGTCTACCAAGATTGTGCCCAATGTCTTTAAAAAGAGCGGTTGAGACTTCGTCTCTTGTCTCTTATCGAGCACTCAGTAACTAAAGCTCGGTTTAATTGCAGACAATTTCCCTTATAGGTACGGATTTTGCGAAAAGACTAAAACCGGCTCTACTTTAGACTATTGGTGGGGACGTATTTCGGACCTTTAATAGAAATGATCTAGTCAGCTATACAATGAACGGTATAGTATTAATAGTCGGACTTAACGTTATACTAAAGGGGCCCTACTCTTTAGTCGGGGAAAGCGAAGTGTCCCGTACTATACCAAAATTACTATGCAATTACAGATACTTGAATTGCACCACACTACCAAATAACCCTTAAATTAATACGCAATTAAGGATATAATCTCTTATTACTCTAATACTATAAAATCTGCATTTTGAGCTATTAAATCAGTTAATATTACTAATCTAGGTAGTAAAGAATACAGAACCACCTCCTTCCTACTAACCCTACTATTTATACCCTCTCGTGCCTCCTCTACCTCCTTATCTAATTCCCTAGACTCTTCTAATATTGCCTATATATATAATTAACTAAGAGGGTTCCCCTTTGCCCGGTAAGCTTATTTAGATACGAGTATTACAGGATTAATAGGGATATTAGTAAAGATTATAGGATCTTTGGCCTATATATAATCGAATTTAACTTGCTCTTTAGCTACCTTATTATAAAGTAATTAGTATTTAATTCGAATAGCTTCAAGCTTGCTTTCTATAGGTTCGTTTTGGAGATCGCAAATTAGTATTAGAAGCTCGGAAGGAATAATTATATTAGTTCCAAGAACTTGCTTCTTTACTTATACCTCTAGATCTCTTACTTTCTTTTTCCTCTCTCTCTCTGCCACTTATACGGCAATTCCTACTCTTTTAAGAGCTTTCTTTTTAGCTAATTTAGCCTTTACAAGCTATCTTTTAGCCTTCTTTAGCTTCTCCTCTACTATATTCCTTACTTTAATCTTTTTCTTTTCTAGAGTATTAGATATATTTAACTATTCCTTTCTTTGGAAACTAAGCCGTATATTTAGCTTAGCCTTATAATATTTAACCTATATCTTGCAAGTATTCTGGGTATCTAGCTCTTATAAACTTCCAAGTATTAGGTAGTTCTTAGTAGCCTTAATTATAACTAAATACTTTTTATAAGAGAAGAAGCTTAAAGTATCCAGAATCTTATTATTGAGATTATCGAGCTATAGAACGCATTTATTATATAAAGAAGAAGGTTTTAGAAAAATAATTAATTAATATTCGTAAATAGAAGCAAGAGCAGGAGCAGATATAGTAAATTATATGTTTTCTGTATCTGATTTAGTTTCTGATTTAGATTCAAACTCCAGGAATTAAAGGCTAGTATCTTTCCTTCTCTTTTTACTATATTTCTTAAGCTTTCTCTATATTACTTTAAAACTAATAGGCCAAATTCCAGTATTCTAAAAGGCGTATTTAATTATATAAATAGTAAATATTTTCTCTCTTATTCCAGGAAGATTATAAAAGAAGTACTAGATATTATATTCCGGCTTATATAAGCGAATCGCATTTATAATATTAATCTATTAATAGTATTTCTATTCCCTAAAAATACTAATATTATATAATTAAAGTAAGTAGATTTAGTAAGAGGGAAATTAGACGATTTATATCTTATTAAATATAGCTTTTAAGATAAAATCATTTATTTAGTAATAAGCTACTTTATTAATTAAGAGAATATACTATTTCTTATTAGAACTATAATTATTATACTTAATAAAATAATCTAACTAAACTATATAAATACCCTCGTTTATATATCCTATAGGAAAGACTATAATAATCTTATAGCCGGTTATATTTTCGTGGAACTAAGAAACTATAATTATAACTTCAAGAATAATTACTACTAGAGAAATTGCCTTACGAGCCTGGTAATTATATGTCTGTGTATTACAGGGCCTTTAGCGACCAAAAGACCACTAAAGCAAAATCCAAACTTTTTAAATTAGTAAGAGAATCTTTAAAACTCTTTCTCAAAGTAATATTTACCTTTCTATTATTAATATACTCTAAGCTTTAAAGGTCAGAGTTTATAGTTTTTTAATATAGCTTGATTAAAGTTGTCGATTTTGTTTTAACGAGGCCTGAAAAAGTCGCTAAAATCCACAGATATATAGTAACCGGGCTCGTTACTATCTACAGATATATACTTAATTATTATAAGAAACATGCAATTTTCTGGTATTCCTATACATATTTCCTTAATTCTAATTAGAATAACTACTTCCTCTTCTATAGGTATATAAATTCGTACTCCTTTCTCGTCTATATTATATATCTGATTCCTATAGCATATTCCAGTTTCCTCTAATACCGGACGATATTCAGTTTCAAACCAGTCATATAGGCTCTATTCGGTATAGAAATTAATACGGTGGCTCGTAATAGGCTTTGTCTTAATTATATGAAGTTCTGAAGTATTCTTTAGCTATTAAGAGAACTACTTCTAAGATAGAGCCGTTTTATTATCCTCTGTTTATATTTATATTATATAGTTATATATTATTTGCTTCGTGGCTCCCTTTCCTCTATTAATCGCATGCGATACTATATACTAAATTGATGCCTCGTATTAATTAGAACAGAGGATCTTGTTCTGCCCCCTCTTTTATACTCTTACTATCCCTATCTTCTTCCTCTCTCTCTACCACGCTTTCCTTACTATATCTTCATTTCGTACGTAATATGTACGTACTGCAGTCGCAGGAGTTTCTTCTGGATTAGCCTTGAGGCACTAAATAGCCTTACGGAGCTTATTCTTCTCTGGCATATTACGGAGAAGCGTATTCTTGGGGAGGTTGCTTAGGCGAGCCATTGCTATCGAATTTGACAGATTTTCAGGGTAATTTGGGCTAGTAGTGATCAAATTAATTAATTTTTACTATGGGTATTCCATATAAATTAGAAATTTTTGCGATCGGTGCGGGACACTTCGCTTTCCCCGACTAAAGGGTAGGGCCCCTTTAGCGCGACGTTAAGTCCGACTATTAGACCTTAAAGAGATTCAATGGGATGAGATATCTGTTGTTGGCGAAACCCCCATAGAGCTTTCAACTGGGCTAGGAAGCCTTATCTTACGCCAATCCGGCGGCGTGCTTCATATCCTCTCCGCACTAGGAATGCATTATAATCCTTCTGGGGAGTCAACCATGACAGCACTCTGGCGTACGCTCATTACTGATCTTCATGGCCTCGAACAGCCGGCTCCAGGATTCCTTTCGTCAAGCTTCCTTGGCTGATTCACTTGCCTGTTAATTCCTCTGTTGCATACATACGACCACCGCCAAAAATCAAAATTTGTGAGGGAAAATTACAAAAGAATACAAGGGTATAACGTATCTCTAGAAGGTGCTGCTAGACTGAAAGCTCAGATTTCCGAGACCTGCGCAACGCACTGCAGTAGGGGATGTCTTTTCCTCGGCACAATTTCAGACGTCCTTATAGCTTCAGTTAATAACCCCTTCTTGGTCCAAGACATCCTCTCATCTGGGGACCGCTCGAACCGTAAAGATATTCGTCAGGTTATAGCGAGCGAGGTACTGATTAACCTTGACATTACAGTTGCAATACAAAATCTTTTCTCTTCGATCCAGTCAACCTTCTGTAGTTTTTGATCCAGGTCACTTAAGGGACGATGATAGCGGAATCGAATATATCTCGTACTTTACTAATACCGGAAATATTGAAAGTGGTCAGCATACTACCGCAGGTGCCTATATGAGAAGGTTTGAGCCTTTCAAGTTGAGCCTTGACAAGAATTCAGAAAGAAAACGCATCTTTCTTACGAAAAAAGGATACTTGTGTCTTGGGCCAGAAGGTGGACAAGTAAGAGACAGAATTATGCTTGTGAAAGGCTCCTATGTGCCTTACATTTTTCGAAAAGAGGTCAAAAAAACAGAGTCTGTCGACGCTCCGTTAGTCCAAGGAGGCAGAGCGCTGTCTCGAGGTCCATCAGAAGCAAAGAGACAAGGGCATGGACGAAAGGCCGCTGGCGCGATTGTCAATACTCAACTTGAGACTAGTGAGACGCGTTAGAAATTGATAGGAGAAGCGTATGTACATGGCACTATGCACGGTGAGGCACTTTCGGTTCGGACTCAACTGATGGAAACTATTCATGTCATCTAAAAGAGCTTAGCAGTCCGAAAATATTCATTAGAGTGTAATGATGTTATTGATGAACAGACTACATCATCAGGATAAGTTGTCTTATTGAGTAAACATCCTCCTTTTGAATCAAATCCTCGGAAAACTGAACTCCGTCGCCTCTATTAAAGAGTTTATTTCATTAACTCCCCTCTGGCAATCGCAATGCCTCTCTCGACCTCTCCTAACAAGTCCACGTCCCAGATCCAACTCATTCGAGAATCGAGATTCTCCTTAATCTTAGCCAGGTCACTTCCCATGCCTACTATGGCAAACTCAATAATCTCTACATCCCTCTGCTCGTACTTGCGACTTTCTATATTCGTGGCCTTCTGACCTAATTATAGGTATAGCGGCAGGCCTTTAGCTTCGCATTTAAATCAGGTGAAGGCGTTTGGTGTTCAGTTAGAACCTGCCCAAGGAGATTACTAAGGATAAGTGAGTCCTCAAAAGACATTCTAGCGCCGTGGCCTTAGTGAAGAGTTGAAGAGTTGAAGCGTAAGCAGCGTCTTCCATTAGCGCAATATGGTCTCCAATATGTCTAGTGGATATTAAGTGATTATATAGCGCCCAGCGCTCTGGACGTTGAATCTGCGATAATAGCTTTTTTATAGGCCCGCCCCAATCCGCAAAGTCAGAGAGTATAGTTTTAGCGGTGACTAGTTGGATCTAGTTTAAGTCCGTCCGAATGCTCTAATATCTATCGTTTTACTTTAGAGTAGGAACGTATTTGACAGTAATAATATTTATCAAATTTTCCTTCTTAACTAGATATATTACAATATAGCTATTATGGCTATAGAAAATAGTGCCTTTATCTGGGCCCATTGCGCCTTGAGTTATTTCCAAGAACTAAGTACGAGGAAATATACTATGGTACGCAAATTCATTGGCAGAAATAGGGTAGAGGATCGAACAGTTTGAGACGGCGGCGAGAACGAAACTTGTATAGATAACCGATTTTATACTATTGCAGGCTATAACGGCACATGTTATAGCTTTAGAGCTATTTGAAAAGTTGAGAAAGAGGTTACTTTTTAATAAATTCTCCGAAATTGACATCGGAGATTTTCCGAAGGAGACAGTGGATGGCGGAATAAGCTTGATGAGTTTATCGAGAAATCTTGTAGGATGGAAATATGCTCGATCAGGTTTGGGAGACCCAGTGTGACAGACTATCGTTATCAAGGTATTGAATTTTGTTTCGATGTTGTCAGTATCTTGTACACATTCAGAGACACGAAAAAATGCTATGAGTTGAGAAAGAACTGTTATAAGCTGGGTTTGTTTGAGAATATCGTTGTGGAAATGCTGTGGCAAGCTATAAAAAACAGTGGGTACTCACTTATCCTCACTTCTAACTCTGACATTCATCTATTCTACTTAACCCACCCCTTCGCCTTCCTCGTTAACTCCCTTATTGTAAGTGATACATTTCTTCAAGCAGTCTTTTATTAGGGGATCGATAAGCTCCAGTGCCGTAATGCCATTCGGTCCCAGCGCAATCCCAGTACCTATCTCAGGAAAGACTGGTACCGACTTATATATTTTGTGAGGAATACCATGGCGAGTGAGCCGAATAGACAAGGTCAACCCAGCAAGGCCTTCGCCGATGATGGCGATTTATGGCTTCTCTGAGCTCTTCATGATGGTTTTGGGCAAGTGTTCGCGCAACACCAAGAGAAAGAAAAAGCAATAAGTCTATTTTTAGCAACACGGGGATATCCAATGCAAACATTAATAGCCCCACTCACATCAATAGCACTACATTCCTTCCTCGAGTCTCAGCACCCTTTAGCCATGCACCTTCGTACTTGAAACAGAGAGAAACCATGTACCCCTACTCCACATTATCAGCAGCGGCCAAGGAAGTCAGGTTGTTGACGCTGATGCCCGGTTGTGACAACGATCCCATCGAGGCGTCTCTCAGCACGGAATCTTTGCACGGCGGATCCATCTATGAAGTATGTTCATCCGACCTGTGCAATTCCTTTTCAAGTTTACCGCCTTCATCCTTCAGGTTCTGACTCGCTCTCGAGGCTCTCTCATATGTCTGGGGATCAACGGGCAACAAACCCAACATTACTCTCGATGGCGTGACATTCGCCATCACGCAAAACCTCCACGCGGCTCTGAAGCGACTGAGGCTACAGCATCAGAGTCGATTGCTGTGGGTCGACGCCATATGTATCAATCAAGATGACACATCCGAGAAGTCCTCCCAGGTGGCCATGATGAGCGAAATCTATAGCAAGACGACCAAGGGCCTGCTCTGGCTTGGCGAAGAGCCTCAGATCCCAGTGCGGACCGTCAGCCCAGAGCAGAGCCTCGCAGTGGACCGGGTGCTCAAGGACGCGGACGATCTAATTGCAAAACTATCCAAGGACATGATGACCAACCTGGACCCATCGGATCCTGATTTTGATACGTGGGAATCGTGGTCTGTTCCTCCACTGCCAGCCCTAGACTACAGTTCAACAGATACGTTCCGTATCACGAAGACCGCGCCTTGTGCGTGGTACAACGATGACTCGGATATTATAACGTTGAACTTGTCAACGGCGGCTAGTATGGAAGATGACGCCGTATTCCACGCCTTCTGCCTCCTCCGCCTCCTATCTGCGGATCATCATCTGAAAGACATTCCTTATTTGCAGCAGGAGGAGGAAGGCCAGGAGACCTACCGTACATTTGGCAGACGAGCAACCCACTGGATCTGCAATCGGGACTGGTGGGGCCGCATCTGGACGGTACAAGAGTGCGTGCTTCCAGACGACTGCACCGTAATATATGGGCCAGTGATGGCGCCGTGGGCCATGTTCCTCGATGCCATAGCCAACTTCCAACATCACAGGTCCTCCTGTTGTGCCGGGATTCACACGACTCCCGAGATATACGATATGCTCAACTACCAAGTTGAGACGATTCTCGAGCTTCAAGCCATTCGAGATCAGAGAAGACGTGGAGAGAAGATCCTACTAGGAGATCTGGTCCGTCAGTTCCGATACCGCCAGGCCACCGATCTACGGGATAAGTTGTACGCACTGATACCTCTAGTGACCAGCTGGAATGGACAGCCACCCCTCGAGCCTCACTACGAGAAGAACTTCAAACCAATAGATGCCTTCCGCCAAGGTATTATAAAGGCCATCGAGGTCAGCGGCACTCTCGACGTGCTCTGCCAGCTTGAGACCCCAGTGTCAACCAACACTCCTTTGCCGTCGTGGATCCCCGACTTTGCTCAGAAGGCGATGCACCTCGGCACACTGGACCATTACACGAAGCAGATGCGCTTGTACAATGCTTGTGCGGGCGTGACGGCCACCTTAAAGGTTGCTGCCGATACAATTCTTGTGCTGGAAGGCTACCGCGTTGATGTGCTCAAGAGGTCCTCTGCGATGGTGATTGATAGCAAACACCAAGACAGAATGGAGACGCTGAGCTGGTGGCACGAAGTTGCCGAAGAAGAGTGCGGCAAAGCGAACGATAGCTGGAAGAGATCCTTCTGGCGGACGATATGTGGGGACTCTATCCTCGGGGGGGAAGTGAACCTCGCCGATGGGGGTGTACCTGTACTTTCAGAACTTCGGCGAGTTACTGAATCAGATGAGGCAGTTTTCAATCAGTGGTGTGCGGTTTATGGACTCAGCCACCTCCGAACAACGATCGACGCTGAAGTTGACACGGAGCTCCAAAACATCATCAGAGAATCGGTCGGTGCCATAAACTATGCCATCTCGGCAACTACGCGGGATAAGAGATTCATCGTGAGTGCGAAGGACCGGATAGGGGTCGCACCCAAGATGGCCGTGATGGCAATTCCTACTTCTACTCCGGACGAGATCTTCATTCTTGCCGGCGGGAAGACGCCGTTCGTGCTGAGACCAGTCGGGTTGAGGGATGTTCCCGGTGTTGGAATGCAGCCTTGCCATACGCTGATTGGTGACTGCTATCTCGAAGGGGTCATGGATGGCGAAGCCATGGCAGAGTATTCTGCGAACAAGCAGCCTGTGTATCTTGTCTAGAGGCTGGATTGGAAAGAGATCTCAATTGCATGGTAACTACCTGCTCTGTAAAATTATTAATTCGCTCCTTGTGGTAGGTCTTACTCTAGTATTGTTTCTTGACTACAAAATAATAACTTTTAATAGAAATATTTAGTACAAACGCCGCGAATAGTATATATTTACTTAACTTTTAATTAAAGATTAATATTAAAGTAAAGAGAATATAATTAAAATATAAAATGCCTTTTCCATTAAAGGTTATAACTTTAAATACTGTATATTACTTATAAAAGTTTTAAGAGTTTTCATTATACTAAAGTTTTATTTTTTCAAGTTAGTTCTTATAGGTAGTGGAGAAGGAAGGGAAGAATGTGTCATGGCCTAGCACCCGACTTACCGATGTACTGGCTCGCGAATTCCGTCAGCATCTGAACACGAAGGCCAACATTTTGTTATGGAGGCACACTGCCATCGCCATCTCACGGCGTCACCTTGGCAAATGCCATTTTTATGGCCTGGAAACGCGACTACAAACGGGATGACGACGACATCTTGACTGCGAATCATCTTAGAAGGTTCATTCCACTAAGGAGACGGGGGCGTACGCTACGCTGAAACCACCCCCATGCGTCGCTCAGTATTAAAGAGGGGTACATATAACCATAATATGGAGGGAGTAAAAGCTAATGCAATTGACTAAGGAGCTAGTGAGAGCTGGGAGCAGAGCACGCTTTAAAGCGTCACTCGCTTGGATCACGTGACAAACGTCCGCGTGATCCCTACTATAATAAGTGTTAAGATAAAAGCACTATTTAATGTTTACAGGTTCTAATCCTACGCCCAAGTTGTCTGTTTTGTTATTAGACTAGTTAAAAGGGCTAGAAAGCTCTACTTGAGTTGTCCTAATTATTAAAATCTCATTAGTAAAGCTCAAATCGCTAAACTCTTCTATTTATTTTTTATATTGACAAGAAAGGTGATAGAAATCACACTTATATATACCAAACCAAGAACTTCACCTGATGTCGTAAGTCCTTTACTTCCCAATTCTCGCACGCATCTCCAAAAAGTGGTAGAAAGTGGTCTCGTGCCTTGAAATGGTCGCTATTCCTTCCTGTCCAGAATATTTCGAATGCCACCTTCATTATTTCCGGTTATTGCAACTTCTCGTAGAACTCTGGCTTCACCAACTGTCTTATAGACAATAATATCGCGGCCGCCCCTACGACTAACCCTATTGAGATGCTCGCTCCATTCGCTCACTTCTCATCTGAGACGGAAGTTCCGCTGTTAGATTCCTGATGAATAAGGGTTTGTTCTCCGGGGAATAGAAAATCGACTTCCGTCTTATCCACCTTGTTGCAAATATTCCCCATCGCGGTCGCTTCTCTGATGGTCCAGCACCAAGGCTTCCACGTGTAGGGGAAATGATTCCCGGAAGGGCTGTTGTGTTGGTCGGAGAATGCACAGAGAATAATAATGTTTGCATCATGAGCAGTTTTTATCGCTTCCCCCAAGGTTCTGATGTCGGACTCGTCGACTGTACTTTTGATGGCCCAGCTTATACAGATTATATGCACGCCTTTCTGTATGGCCCAGTGTACTGCCAATATCCTCTAATTTAGGAAAAATACCACTTCAGTTGAGGAAGAGGAGAACTTTGTATGCACATACCTGCGTAGCGGACTGTCTAGTAATAAGTCTCTTCCCATTTGATTCCTGTATCCTTGCTATATATAACTTCACGTTCGGGCACAAACGACAAATTAGCCTTGCTATCATTGTCCTATGGTGGCCCGCAGGACAAAGTATGCACTTATGCGACTAGGGAATTTCGGGTGCTAGCAAAATGATGATCTTGCCAGTTAGGTCCTCTTGGCGTGGATCGATTCCGTCGTCAATCACTGCTACCTTCATAGATCCGGAAGGTTTAGTGTCCACCTGGCGACTAGCGACGAGATGTTCGATCCCACTTTTCATGGCATACTCCAAGAAAACACTTTCAGTTGTATAAAAGCTAGTCGCTCTCTGAAGCAAACTTTTCCTTAAGGATGGTTTCCATATCCCTTCGTAATCAAATTCCTGGTTGCCGAAGTTAGGGAATCTGTCCCTAAAGGTATCAAACATCAAAAACGATGTACAGATCTGAGCGCAGAGACCATGAGATATCCTTGGGGGAAAAGAGTGCTGCCACTGATCAGGGTATGGAACTGATCTTCCTTTATATTGAGAGGCATCATCCTGGGCAATGAGAAACTCACTCGCAGTTTGATGAAAAAGAAAGATTCTATTTTCGACGATTGTCACAAAAAGGCCGCAGAGAGTCCTAACCCGGTTCTGGAACACCTCGTCAGGTTGAAGTTTGAGGTCTTCGATCGATCGAGCTCCTGGGGAAATGGCAAGGTTGAGTACAGTTTTCATCTCACGTGCTATAAGGGGTCGTAGAGCCCCGACAATAATGTAAAGTAAGATCCTTGTCGTCTTTTTGTCGCTGCTACAGAAGGATGCAGAGAGGAAGAAGAAAGGTACATTGCCAATCGGAAGTGATCTCGTCTGACGACTCGCGGGTCGGTCATTATTAATGCGATTTCGATGTCGGTTCTAGCGCGGAGATGTTCGGCACGCAAGGTGGGAAAGATGCTCCTGAAATTGAACAACATATCCATTAGGCCTTTGCCAGTTTCTTGGCTTCACATATTGTGTCTCACAAATCCCCATCCAACACCTTCCATGCCACGGAGCACTCAAAATACCACAAATATTAGCACCGGCCAAGCAAGAATATAGGGACCAAGAAATGTGTCCCTTCGCACGTTCAGTCCGACCCATAATCATATCCGAAGTCATCAAAATCGTCTGATAGGCCGAAGAACTCGGCCTCGAAGACAATACGGTCCTCGAAGTCGTCCACTTCATCAAATTCGTCTCCGTCTCCATCGTCGTCGGTAGAAAGATAGTCAGCTGTCAGGTTGTTGAACAGCATCTCAATGATCGCCATCTCGTCCAGCATCTGTGCTCTCATCCGTGGCTTGCGCCGGCGCTGCAGCTCTTCCTCCGAGAAGATGTATGGCTCCTTTGTGATGGGGTGTGCGTGCGAATAATGGCAATGGTTTCCGAATTGGCACTTGAATTTGTAGTCTGGCGGCGCTGAATCGTTGATGCTTTTCTCAAAATGTTTGCAAGGAATAGTTCTGAGACGCCCAAGATATCTTTCCACGATTTCCTTCTTCATCGGATTCTCGTTTGTAGCTGCTGTTGGCCAAATGGAACTCGGGATGATGAAGTCGCTTTGGGAACGACACATCGGGCATGTCTTGCTGGTCTTCTTCAGCTCGTTCTCGGAGGTGGGGTTTTCGGGGAGTGTAGCACGCCAATTCCGAATGCATTCTGGCAATGTTAGGTCCGAGCAGGAGACTTTGGAGAGGGCATACCAAGACAGAAGGCGTGCTCGCAATTCACCAGGAGGCCGTACGTGTCTGGTCTCTCGAAGCAGATCGCGCACGTCTGAGAAGCTGTGTCGACAGTGAGCACATGTCAGGCGCGGAACTGAGGGGCGAATATACATTCGGTGGCATCGTTCTCTGCAGGGCTTGCACGATGATTTGAAGAAGACGCGGCGGTAGTTGATTGATCTTGCCTTATATCTGCAGCAAGCATGGCAGCATCGTGTTTGAAATAGCAAGCACTGCCTCGCGCGCAATACCCGCGCATCCACCACTTACAGTCGACCTCTACAGGTGGCAGACGCCGAGTGGTGATGGCGGACATCTTCAAGATATAGTGGAGAGTTGTGGTAAACGGAGGATGACGCGAGGAATCGCGATGCCTTCTCGCCTCGTACGGTTGACCCTAGCGACCAAAAGGCTCAATGGCTTTTTTTGCAATATCGCTTTTTTACCCCCACCATAACTTACTCTTATTATACCACCTTTAATCTATTGCATACATTGTGTAGCATTAAAAATGCCTCTAAAAATTGATCTTGAGCCTTATAAAGAAGAGATTCTTAGTTGAATCTCTAAGAATTATATAATTTCTAAGATTTTATATATTAAATATAGCTTAAATATACTTAAATACACTTTTCAGAAGTGGGATATATTGTATAATAAGAAGAATAAATCTTTTGAGGTTAAGATAATTAAATTATATATTTCTAAATTATCTATAAGTAATTATAATAATAATATAATTTTTTAAATAGTTTTAATTAAAGAAATATTTCTTTATTACTAATAACTCGCATAATATAAACTAGATCTTGATTTTATTTAAAGAATAATAATAAAGAAAAAAAAGTAAAAGTATTAATAGCTTATAAATATTATATAAAAAAAGCTAGATTATAAGAAAATTAAAGGCTATAAAATAAGCTTAATTAAAATATACTTTTAATAAATTGAAGTTATTACTTTTTATATAATAATTTATAATATTATTAAAGGCCTATATAATACTATTATATAATATATATAAAATATAAATATATTAAATTAGTAAAGTAATTAATATTCAGAAATAAGAATTATAATATTATAATATTAATATGTAATTCCTAAATCTATTAAGTCTAATAAAAACTAATTACTAATTAAGTTATTTATAAAACGCGAGATTATATAATTATATCTCATATTTTATATTTTATTATTTATATTTTATTACTTATATCTTATATTTCTAGTTCTATAATTATATATATAACTTTTAAAAAATAGCTATATTAATATTAAAAGTTCTTTAAAAACGCGAAAAATAATATTTTCTTTTAATTATATACTATTTTTCTAATTTAATCTAATATTAAATTTTCCTAAATACTTTATATATTTATATATATTTATTTATTTTATATTTCTATTTTATATATTTATTTTCTATTTTATTTATATTTAATTTATTTCTTTATATTTAATTATATTATATTTATATTAATAAGGTATTTAAAAGTATTTAATAGCTTTAATTTTATTATAAAGTTATTAGAATTCGATTTTCCCTTAATTTATTTAACTTTTATAATATCTTGTTATTTATATATTTAGTAAAGATATATTATATTAATTATTAGATATTTCTTTTAAGTAATATCTAATTTAATAAGGCATTTATATAATAACTTCGAATTTATATAAATTATTAGTAATAGTTCTATTTCTAGTATTTTATTAATTATAAATTTAATTAAAGCACTTATATTCAAGCTATAAACTATATTATATAATTCTAAAATTAAAATACTTTTAGTAATTCTTTTATATTTAATTAAGAATTAATAAATAATATTAATATATTTAGTTCTATTTATTAAAACTAGAATATATTCGATTTAAAAGAAATATCTCTATTATTTATAAATAATTAAATATAAGAACTTCTTTATTAGTTTCATAAATTTTAATTTATTAATAATATTTTTAATTTATTATTAAATATATTTATTAAATACTTTTATATTAATTTTCGAGAATTTAATAACTTAAATAATAATTAATAAATTATATAAAGCTTCTAATTAATAAATTAATATAATATATATTTTTCTAGTATATTAGATAATATATTAATTTTTAATAAAGAGATTTTAATAAATAGTACCTTTATTACTTATAATAATAATATTTTTTATAGAAATAATTTAAGGGTTTTTATACTAGTATTTTTATATAAAAATAATTCTAGTAATATTTATATAAATAATATCTTTATTAAACTTGAAATTATAATTAAAAATAAGGCATTTATATTTTTTAGCTAAGAATTTAGTTTCTTAAAGTTTTAATTACTTTATTTTTATAAAATTCTTAGTTTTAATAAATAAAGTATTATTAGTTTAAAGGCTAATAATTTAAAGAATTATTTATTATAAAAGAGGCAAGAGTTATAAGTTAATTACTTTATAAAAACTTTATTAATATAATAAAAATAATAAGTTTTAAACTAGTAATTTCTAGCTTTTAATATATTATATAATAGTTTTATAACTTTTAAAATAGAATTATTCTTTAAACTTAGCTTTTTAATAAACTTATAAAATAAAATTAATATAAAAATTATAATTAAATAAGATTATTAATTAGATATAAACTTATAAAATATTATATAAATATAATTCTATTATATTTATTATTATAATAATAATAATAAAAACAATTCTTTAATTAATATATTAAATAATAAGTAATTATATTAATATTATATATTTCTTATTATTATTATAAGCCTAAATAATAAGTTTCGATTTCTTTAGCTTCTTTTTAGTATTTTTTATTTTTAATTTTATTAATAAATTAGAAATTAAAAGTATATATTTCTTTTAATATTTGAAATCTAGAAATAATTTTAAATATTTTTTTTTCTAAAAAGTTAATAACTTTAATATAACAGGAATTATTATACTAAATATTATTTTATAGAAATATTATAATATTAGAGTTTTTATAAGAATATTCTCTATTATATTTTAATAAAATAATAGAAATAATAAAAAGAATTATATTTATACTATTTTAAAAATTTATTTAAATTAAAATATATTAATTTTAATATCTTTTATATAAAAGGGCTTTATAGAAATTAAATAAAAAAAATATTACTATATAATAGATCTAGTATATAGTTCTTTTATTAATAGCTACTAGCTTATATAATCTATTTTAGTTATTAAATTAATTAATATTTTCTTTATATTATATAAAAATATTTGAATTTAAAAAAAGTTTATAAATACTACTTATATTAGAATTATTTCGAATATTTAAGGCATTTATAACTTAATATTTTAGTTTAAAGCTTCTGGATTTCTATTATTACTTTTTTAAGAATTTTTAATTATTATAAAATAATAAATAATAAATAATAAATAATAAAATATTATATTTAATTATTTGAAATAAAATATTATAAATTTTATAGAATTATTAATAGCCTTAAAAGCTATTTAAAATATAATGTTTTTATTAATTCTATTAATTTTAGCTATAATAATAAAATAAATATATTAAATTAATTTATAATAATATTTTATAATTTTAATAAAGTTATAAACTTTTATAGAAATAATTTTAATTTTTATATTTATAGTATTTATAAATTAAATAAACTTTTTATTAATAAACCACTTTCCGGTATTTACTATAATCTAATTAAAAGAGCCTAAATAATTATTAATTTAGTATTATTTAAATATATTTCAAATATATATTATATTAATATTTTAAAGCTATTATTTAACTTAATATTAAATGCCTTTATTAATAATACTATTATATAATTATAGAATACTATTTATATAAGATTAATAAAGTTATTATTATTTAGAAATAAGAATTATAATATTATAATATTAATATATAATTTCTAAATTTACTAAGCCTAATAGAAACTAGCTATTAATTAAATTATTTATAGAATATAAAATTATATAACTATATTTTATATTCTATTACCTATATCTTATATCTCGAATCCTATAATTATATATATAACTTCTAAAGAAATAACTATACTAATATTAGATCTTTTCTAAAAAAAACGCAAAAAACAGTATTTTTCTCTAATTATATATAAATTCCCTAATTTGGCCTAATACCAGATTTCCTAAATGCTTTATATATTTATATTACTTTTTAAGATTTTAGTTATATATTAAAGGCTATAGCCTTTTATATATAACTTTCTTTTTTATAATATTTTTCTATTCTATATATTTATTTCTTTCTATTCTATATATCTATTTTCTATTCTATTTATATTTAATCTATTTCTCTATATCTAATTATATTATATTTGTATTAATTAGATATTTAAAAGTATTTAATAATTTTAATTTTATTATAAAATTAATAGAATTTAATTTTCTTTTAATTTATTTAATTTCTATAATCTCTTATTATTTAAATATCTAATAGAGATATATTATATTAATTATTAGATTTTTTTTTTAAATAATACCTAATTTAATAAGGTATTTATATAATAATTTCAAATCTATATAAATAACTAATAAAAGTTCTATTTCTAGTATTTTATTAATTATTAATTTAATAGAAATACTTATATTAAAACTATAAGCTATATTATAAAGTTCTAAAGCTAGAATACTTCTAGTAACTTTCTTATACTTAGTAAAGAACTAGTAAATAATATTAGTATATCTAATTCTATTTATTAAAACTAGAATATATCTAATTTAAAAGAAAAAATCTCGATTATTTATAAATAAAATATTTATAAAAATAATTAAATATAAGAACTTCTTTACTAGCTTTATAAATCTCAGTTCTCTAATAGTATTTTTAATTTACTATTAAATATATTTATTAAATACCTTAATATTAGCTTTTGAAAATTTAATAGCTTAAATAATAATTAATAGATTATATAAAGCTTCTAGTTAATAAACTAATATAATATATACTATTGTAGTATATTAGGTAATATATTAATTCTTAATAAAAAGATATTAATATATAATATTTCTATTATTTATAATAATAGTATTCTTAATTAATATAATTCGAAAGTTTTTATATTAATATTTCTATATAAAGGTAATTCTAGTAGTTTCTATATAAATAATACCTTTATTAAATTTGAGATTATAATTAAAAGTAAGGCATTTGTATTTCTTAGCTAAAAACTTAGTTTTATAAAGCTTTAATTATTTTATTTTCGCAAAATTCTTATTTCTAATAAATAAAATATTATTAGTTTAAAGACTAATAATTCCGAATAGTTACTTATTATAGAAAAGGTAAGAATTATAA